CCCATACCATAAACCCACCCACCATCTGCCATCACCACCACCACCGCCAAAATTACATAAATGGTCCATATGGTTTACCCATGGTGACAAATTCAGTCCCTACTACCTGAAAAGACCAAATTACCCTCACATTAACGGACAAAAAGCAACCAACATGCTACTTTACTTTACAAAGCAATACCTTCCGACCCCGGCAACGCCGGTGAATCTTTTCTAGTTTTAATTATAATTATTATAAAGTATAAAAATCGATTATAAAAAGTTTAATTTTTTTTAAAGGTTATGATTCGTTTACGGCCCTAATCATATTCAATATCCATCCGTCTCCCCTTCACCTCTTGAGCTCTGATTTCAGAAAAGACCACGAACACGAAGTTTTCATAGTTCAGATTCAGAAGTCGCCGAATATCTCTGTAAGTCCTTGCTAACCTGCAATGTTTCTCTTCCCTCCTCTCAACGATAAAAGACCATATTCCGAAAAAAATCCCATTAATTAATCGCTTCTGGATTGTAGTGGGTGTTTGCGAAAATTGAGAAATGGGTATCTTGAGTTTTCGTCTGTTCAATATTATAAAATCTGGGGAATCACTTCTGGACTAGAGTGGATCTAGTTCATCGAGTTTTGTCTGGGTTTTTGGTTTTCAGATTCGTTATTATGCCTATAGACCAATGACCTGAACAAACAAAGAAGTGAATTTGGAGAATTTGGCAAATTTGTCATCTGTTCATTCATGCACGTAACCTGTTCGACTAGATGCCAATGGGAGGTTACTTCTAGAAAGAAATTACTTTTAGAACCGACTTCATTAAATCCATTAGTAAATTTTTTCAAATTGTTTTGCTTAAATAATAAATAAGGTTGATTTGTCTTTTCTCTTTTTAAGGGACCAAGCAAATAAACTTCACACTTGCAACGCCAAATTAGGGTTTCGTTGAGCCACTGTTTCAAATCGGATTTGATTTAACAATGACATCGTTAGGGGCTTCTAAAGGTGTACTGGAGATTGCAAAGTTTGCTGTTTATGTTACAGTTCCGATTGGTCTCATGTATTTCTTCACCAACAACACTAACAATCTTCACAAATTCATGGGCGTTGTAAGTATCTCATCACAATTTTAGCTTTAAACAGTATTCTTCAATAGTATTTGCTACGTAAGTTTTGATCATTTTAGTTGAATGTTCGTAGTTCTGTTAACAAGTATGAAGTCAAAGGATTATCTTTCGTTGAGCCCATGAAGAGTTCAAACCATTAGTTATTCCTATATAGGAAACATAGGAATATACCTGAAAATTATTTATTTTTCTTTAGGGTAAACTGCAAGAAATTTCTTGTGTTTTGTTTCTTGTTAAATGCAAGAATTTTCTTGTTTCTCTTTAGTTTTTAACTACAAGAAATTTAATTATTATAGCATCATACTTTGATTTATAGGCATAAAAGTTTCCTGTTTCTCTTTAATGTTAAATGAAAGAAAAATAACAATGTAATTCCATTATTTATTTATTATAGCATCATACTTTTATTTCTTTTTATTACAACCCTTTACTTCCAAAAATCCAGGGTTAATGACATAATTGGGTAACAAACTATCTAAAGTGTTTTAAAAATACCATTGTGCTAAAAAAATGTTCTAAAAAATAAAACCAACTTTTATTTTTGTTTTTACCGGGCTACAAGGGTTTTTAAATAACAGAAATAAAATTTGGTTACCTTCTTAGAATATTTTTTTTAGTACAATGGTATATGTAAAACACTTTACATAGTTGGTTACCTAATTATGTGATTAACCCTTTACAACCACTAATTTTCACATTTAAAGTTCTAAAAAGTACTATAAAAATCCTTCAAACCAAGTAGATGGTTTTGATTATAAGAGTAGGATTAATTTTTGCAATGTTTCACTTTTTGAAGCGACAATATGTTGTGTACCCTACGGAGGGGCCAAGGCCACAATCACCAGAGGAACTAAGAGAAATGGCTCGGGAGATAGCTCGCAAGCGAGCCACACAATCATCATAACCTACTACAGCCTACTCGTGAACATGCTTTTTAGTTCATGTTATGTGCTTATTAAAGTGTAATAAAAGTGCTTCCAATAAATTTATTGTAATTCTAGTATCTTGAATATTGTAGTTGTAATTAAGAAATTCGGCAATTAATAATACGGGGATAATCACAAAAATATTCATTCGAAATTTGGGAGTATGGGGAAATAACCCAACTTCTTTTGGTTTACCAAAACGACCATCATGTCCTAAGACTATAGGTTAAGTTTTAATTATTAATAATCTTTTTTCCTAAAACCGGTTTTTAAGTGGTGGAACCGGTTTTTTGAAAACTTGTTGATTTTCACTAGTTCGTATACAAACAACTTTTGACCTTCGAAAAATATCAGTTTTCAGTTCAGCCGGTCCAACCTACTGGTCCAGTCCGATCTACAAAACAACGATAAAGGCCAAAATTACAAAAAAAAAAAAAAAAAAAAAAAAAAAAAAAAAAAAAAAGTTGAATGATCCAAAAAAATATCTGTGGATTAAGAATGTAGGTTATGATCTTGAGTTTGATCGCATAACAACTTCAACCACTTCATTTCCCCTTTTCACCTTTTGACCACAATTAGACTCTATCAACTTACGAAATTCTATATTTGCTATTTTAACACATCCTAGCCGACTCTTGGAGGTTCCCAAACCAAGTCAAGACAAAGTAAAATCAAGTTTCATGAAATTGATACATATAGTCCATATATCTTGACTTTTTAATTTAACCCAAACTTAACTTCCTAATAATTTTTTAGGCCTTTAATTTCATAATTTCTGTAATTTATTTTATTTGTTTGTATTTGTTTTAATTATTTTTATTTTATCTAAAAATTTTAAAATTTTAACTTTACTAAAAAAGGACAGAAATTCTAGCCCTAAATACGGATGCTATAAATATACACATTAATATTTTTGGAATGACCATTTTGCATCCCATGAATAAAGGATAAAGAGCAAAAAGTGATTTATTTTCAAATTTGATCATATCATAACAAACATTGGTTTAAAATGGACTAGGTTGTTCTAAATATAGCATGAAGAAGCCGTTATGTCGTGCAATAATGAATTTTTACCTCCACCGCTATCACAGTGTTGATCCACCACCACAATCACTATGCAGTACCCCATCATAATCGTACTGGGAATGGATGGAAACGTCGAAATTGAATTTGTGGATAGTGGAGGTCTGATCGAAAGCGACTGTCCTACCCTTTCTCCTTCGTACGGATCATAAGGGGCGATTTTTAGTGTATTGTGTTAGATGACATCGTTGCAAGAGGAGCGACTACCCTCACCCTTCTCCTTCCCTTGTGAGATATTTGTAGATTAGGTTTTTTATTTGTAAATTAGATTAGGTGTGTTTATCATTTATAGTTTGATTTGTGTGGCTAACATGTGTAATTCCTATCAGTTTTTTTAATGATTTGCTAGGAGCAAACAACAATTAGATCTTTATGGTAAAATGAACAATTAAAAGAAGACCCTACACGAACATTTGATACGACAACTCGACAAGTACTTGAAAAGAAAGAAAGTTTCACCTTTTGCGGTAGAGTTGTGACATCCCCAATTTCACGGCCAGAAAAGATCGATTTGTTTATGCTTTGTTTTAAAATCAGAGTAATCTTTTAAAGAAAACTGTTGCGGAATTTGTTCCCAGAAAACATGATAAATACTTTATCCAAGCATCTCCGAAGAGATGTATTTATTCGTTTTAAAACATTTGGGATGTCCTGGTCAATACAGACACATAAGCATAAACCGAACTTACATTCATCTACACTAATTATCTACATCTCTTTTAAATCTCTCAGTGTAATGTAGTTTCGTATCGATACCCGTGATACAAATATATTGAGTGAGTTAGGTTTGAAAACCTGGTGAGTACATAGGGATTTCAATCCCACAATGTTATAACACACACACACACACACACACATATATATAATATATATATATATAGATATATATATATATATATTATATATATATATATATATATATATATAAAATTTAGAATTCACACAATATATAATTTTCTCTATATATATAATCAACTCTTACCCCCACCCCGTCAATCCTCTCAATGAGACTATCCATACTCTCGGACCTTAAATTATAACTCTTACACCCGAATCTAATCCATGTTCTCGAATCCATGATTGTGCCCATTCCATACTCCCGGATAAGGGACAATTGGTCTATGTCTAAATCCATACTCCCGGATTAATGACAAATTATATGTCCTGTCCATACTCCCGGACTAAGGACAACCGACTATGTCTTAATCCATACTCCCGGATTAAGGACAACTGACTAAGTCCAATCCATACTCTCGGACTAGGGACGAATAACTAAGTCTAATCCATGCTTTCGGATTAATGAAATGTTTAAGGGTTCTATTCCCCGTGTATATCTCACTCGTACTCATAAGGAGATACTACCCCATAACCATTATAACAAACCTTAGGTTTACTCTTTAACCTAAGTTATCATAAACAATTAGGTATGTTCTTTAACACTTAATTCAGACATCATCAAATAACTCACACAAAACATATATTTAATACATTCAAACAATACTTGTATTAAAATCATGTTCAGGAAAGGGACTATGCACTCACTTGATAACACGATGATCGGACAACACTACGGCTCTATAAAGTAATATTCTTCGATGACGCCGAGATTTTTTCTCAGAAATCGGGCTTCTCGCGGGCAGAGTTTCGGCTCGAAAACTCTTTTTCTCGGGATCTTCGGGGATTCGGGACTTACTTCGGGTATCGGAATGATACCGGGACTTCAGGGGGTTAAAAGTGGGCTTAAAGATGAGAGAAGTAGGAGAGAGGTTGAGAAATTAGCAACCAAAACCGGTTACCTTCGATTTCTATTTATAGGGCTGAGTTTCGCTATTCACGTCGTGAACCAGGCTTGTTCACGTCGTGAACTTGGTCGTCATCAGGTGCATAGTCACGACATCAGTCTGTCAGGCTCTGAAGGTGTCAATCACTGAGTTCACCTCGTGAACTCTATGTTCATGTCGTGAGTTCTGACACAGGTTGAAGTTTGTGCCCCGAACTTCATAAATTCATATCTTTCGCATACGAGCTCCGTTTTCGACGTTCTTTATATCCACGCGTACGTGAGATTATGCTCTACAACTTTCGTTTAGACTCCGTCGGCTAATTTTGACTTTGTTTTTATTATATTATTTTTAGTAGGCCGGGACAGGTTAACTCTGTTAGAAATTCATAACTTCTTCATCTGACGTCCGTTTTCGTCTGTCTTTTTACCGTTGAACTACTATCGACGAGACCTTCGATTATCGTTTAGATTGTTTCGGCCAAAGATCACTCGATCTCAATTTCGAGATTTGGGCTGCATACCGCTAAGCTGAAACTTAGAAAAATTATAACTTCCTCATACGAAGTCAGATTTGGGCGTTCTCTTTATGCACGCTTTCGGTTTAACGTATTCTACGACTTTCGTTTAGATCGCTAAAGCCATATATCGCTCTATCATAAATTCACTATTTACGCCGCGCTGTGTCGTGTCGGTTCTGTTGCGAAACTTCGACAAGTCATAACTTCTTCGTTATAACTCGGATTTCGGCATTCTTTATATATTCGGAATCCTTGTAACATATAATACAACTTTTATTAAGACTATCCATTCTTATTACTTCAAAACGAGTCTCAATGATTGACCTAGACTATTATACCGTCATTAATGCATAGCCCAGAAACACGGGCGGTACAATTCTCTCCTCCTTAGAATGATTTCGTCCCCGGAATCATACATCAGCAAACAAATGCGGATAGCGACTCATCATGTCATTCTCCGTTTTCCCCAGGTGAGATTTGGCCCATTCGTGTGTTTCGATTGCACAAGAACTAAATCGACCATCTTGCATCGCAACTTCTTAGTCTTACGGTCGACGATTGCATCTGGTTCTTCAATTAGTCTCTTGCTTTCATCCAACCTTATTTCAGAAATTGGAATTATGTCGGGAACTTCTCCCGTGAACTTCCTCAAATAACACATGTGGAAAGTGTTATGAATATCATCTAGTTCTTCTGCTAGTCCTAGCTTGTAAGCTTGGTTCCCAATTCTCTAAAGAACTTTAAACAGTCCAATAAACCTTGGACTCAACTTTCCCCGAACCACGTAACATACTCATCTTAATCGGACTCGATTCGATATGACCTATAGGGTCGGAATATCAATCATCTTCTTAGTCATTACCGAAACGATGGTAACGACATACGTGAATAAAAACAGAATCAATTACTAGCTTCTTGGCAACCTTGTGACTTTCCCTAATCCAAGTGTGAGTCATGTGCTTCCAGTAGTATAGATCTCTACTACTATTCACACCTACTCATACTCGTCCCAAGTATTGTCTCGCATTCCCCAAGTCCTAAAATCACAAAACAATTTAACACATACGAATGTGCCCAAATAATCATAAAAATTTTCCTAGACTCTACTAGGACTTCTTCCATGCGTATCTTTAATCATCAATTCTACTTCAACTCGGTTGGTGATGGAAATTCCAGACGATGGGACAACTTCAAGAATTACACCAATCGTTCCATCATCCTACCAATCGAAGGTGTACTTCAGACGTATCGTACTCTTCTAAACGTTCCGTTATTTTATCAGACATATTCTAAAGGCAAGATACCACTCTTACGATATCTTCCGATAGGTGTCATTCACTATCGTAAGCCTTTCATTTCCTCAATTTACTCAATTCTCTACGAGTCTTCACCATGACGTTTTGTACACCCAATTGGACGTTCGGTGTACCGGGCGAGAATTTTAAGATAGGAAGGCTTTATTTACGATAGACGTATAAATCTCCTTATCACTCCGAAACATTTACATGCTAGTTCTAATATCGTAGTCGTACGCTTAGAATCCTAAACATGTAAGGTTTCCAGATCCGGTCGGCAACAGATCATAGATCCAAACAAATAATAACATATATGGTAAACATATAGCATTTTGCACATAAAAGCATTTTAGGCATCTTTCCTAAAATAAACTAGTGCTCGTGTCTAAAATATGGTAGACACTCATCTCATAATCATCACTTAGCATTCTAAGTTTACGTCTACAAAATCCTACAAATTCCTAGTTCGCT